CTCCACCGTCATGCCATTCTAGGACCCTATAACACTGTGCTCCTCCTTGCTTTCCTTCACGGTCTAAAAGAGCATATGTTCTAGCTGAACCTCAGGGAGCCAGCACAGCCAGAGCAGCCTCGTTACATTGTTGTTTGGGTTAATGTCAGCTTCCATCGCGCTGCTCTGGTTCGTGACTGGTTTACCAATAACCCGAGGTTTTCTAACATCTTTCTGCCTGCATACTCTCCCTTTCTAAACCCGATAGAGGAGTTTTTTTTGGCATGGCGGTGGAAAGTGTATGACCGAGAACCTTATATCCGTGCTCACCTCCTCCAGGCCATGGAAGAAGCCTGCCTAGACATATCAGTAGATGCATGCCAGGGGTGGATCAGGCATGCAAGAGGATTTTACTCTCGCTGCCTGGCTAGGGCCAATATAGCCTGTGATGTGGACAAGATTTTCTGGCCTGACCCAGACCAAAGATGGGATGCTGAGGCAGAATATTTTGTGTGTGTGTTGTACTGTGTAGTGTTCATGAATGAATAAAAATGTGCCAATGTATACATTGGTTGTGTCTTTTGTGTTCATGTGAAAAGGTTTTTGAGGGGGAGAACCACAAGCAACATAACTTACCAGTTTTGGAAGTATTGTTTTGAATGTATTTCACCAGTGTGTAATACTATGTTGTAGTGTGTGTGTTTTTGAAAGCTTGTGTGTGATGTCTGAGGGAAAAGTTTGGTTTTTCAGCAAGAGTGAATGGTATTGAGTGTAGAGCTTCATTTTGACCTGAAAATAGGATGTTTGGGGAATTGGGTGAGACGTTATGGATTTGTGTTTACTGTTTTGAGAATACGAGGCATAGTTTCAAGAAATGTGTTTAAGCAAATGAGAAAAACTGTAATTGTTGTAGGCTAACCCGATCTCATGAAAGTGCATATAGCACGATTTTCTGCTTCTATTTGGTGTAATATTTCTATGCAGAAATTGGCTTTGGCATGCAAAAGACTGATAAATTCATAATTAATGGCATGGGTGGTTCAGTCGACAGAAATACGGGACACACAGGCCTATAATAACTGCTGAAATGTTTCAGATTCAAATCTCAGATCAGTCTGAGTGCTCATGATACTCACAGTGCGCACAGCCGTACACCTGTAGGACCCACTGACTGACAGTATATTCCAATCTGTGTTTACTGTATATTCAGTTGTTTGGTCTTTGTACTTTTTTTCTTCTAGTGCTTTTCATTTACTGTAAGATTTCTTTACAGTAGTGTAATGACAGTAAACTTTTCTTACAATTTAATGCTGAATCTTACTGTATCTGCACCGCTCTATTTATGTTGTATACTGTAACAGTGATTGACTAGCAAAAGGATTCCTATTTCCCAAAAGGAGGTTTTTGTAACAGTGTTTTGAATTGATCTCACTAGTGTTCTCTAGGCAGTGAAGTAGTGTGTCAGGGTTGACAGGTTTGTGTGTCATCTGAGGCCAAAGTTTGAGTCTGACAAAAGAGAACATGTTTTTGACTAAACTATTTGATTTTGACCTGGAAGTTTGAGGTTTGCACAAGTTTGTGTGTTGTTTTGAGATTGTGGTTATAGTTGTGAGAAAATGGTGAATTGTTTCATGAATTGTGTGTTAGCAATCGAGAAAAACTGTAAACACGACCCACGTTCATTAAATCAGGACACAGTGCTGAAGTTTCATGAATCTGAGGTTTAACTCTGAGGAACGGACACGAACACACATGAATCTCACCTGAAGAGCTGCCGGCGGCTCGAGGAGCCCTCGGTGCTCAGGAAATATCTGCATTAGAACAGACAGACATTTACAGTGCCTTCAAAACACTGTGATCACGTGTAACTTACCCTTCATCCAAATACACACACTTGAGCACTTGACTACTTATATGATGTATTTCCTGTATTTGGCCCAAGAGCTCAAGTGTGTGTCGAACTTTTCATTACCTGATGGGACACACTTATAGTGTTGTAAAAATGCAAGCGTTTACATAGCTTTATTTTTATCTAAAATACTTTGCATTTTAAAATCAACTTCTAAATATCTGTTCAGTAGTCCCTATAACACGACACAATTTAATTTGCGGTGGTTCTAATTAAGGGACAAAAATCAGTTGCAAATGTTGTACAAAATAAATATCACCACTACTCATCTTTGCACCAAAAAAAGCGCAACACTTTGTTTTTCAACCAAATTATATGTAATAGGGCTGCATGATTAATCAAATGCTATTGTCATGCGCATCTTGTCAGTAAACCCGGTTCTGTAATCAGTAGTAAATCTCCATCACCTGCTTTCAGATGGAGCAGCATTTACTACACAGCCGTAGTTCACTGAGAAGCTACGCAAACAGGTGTCATTATAATAATTAGATTTTATAATAATACGATTATATTGTCTGCAATTTTTTTTGTGTAGTTTGTCAGAGAACTACGGCTCTGTGTAGTAAATGCTGCTCCATCTGAAAGCATGTGAAAATACCACATTTAATAACATATTTTTACTCCAAACTCACTTCGTAACGTCAGTCGAGTGTTTGAAATAAATCCTTCTGTGAGATGATGTGGCTTCTTACACAGAATAAGGCACGCAACATATTTCATAGTATTCTAAGCAGTGATAAAGGCTATGTCGATTAGCATTGCATTATAGATTTACTTTATATTAATGAGAATTATAATAAGATGAACTCAGATAAACCATATATTGTAGATGAACTCCATATATTGTCGTAGTCGTGTGTTTATTAGTCACGCTGAATCAATGAAAGCAGTTCAATCTTCTGTTTATCTGTTTATTCTGTTACCTTTCTTCTGCGGGGCATATTTGGAGTTTCAGCGCAAGAGCGCCCTCTGACCTTCGGATGGCGATTTACTGCTGATCACAGAACTGTGCTGCACTGAAAGATATGCATGACAATCGCAGCTTTTGCTAGGGCTGCACAATAAATTGCGATAAATCGCAATCTTGCCAGTGAAGCACGGTTCTATGATCAGTAGTAAATCTCCATCCGAAGGCCAGAGGGCGCTCTTGCGCAGAAACTCCAAATACACACGCAGAAGAAACCCAGGAAATTCCTATAGCGGTAGCTGGATAAACAGAAGATTTAACTGCTTTCATTGATTCAACGTGACTAATAAACACACGACTATGACAATATATGGTTTATCTGAGTTCTTAGTATAATTTTCCTTATAATAAAGTATATAATAATGCAATGCCTTTATCACTGCTTAGAATACTATGAAATATGTTGCGAGCCTTATTCTGTGTAAGAAGCCACATCATCTCACAGAAGGATTTATTTCAAACACTCGACTGACATTATGAAGTGAGTTTGGAGTAAAAAAAAAGTTAAGTGTGGTATTTTTACCTGCTTTCAGAAGGAGCAGCACTTACTATACAGAGCCGTAGTTCACTGAGAATCTACACAATATTTCATAATATCAATGATATCATCTGCAATTTTTTTGCATAGCTTGTCTGTAAACTACGGCTCTGTGTAGTAAATGCTGCTCCATCTGAAAGCACGTGATGGAGATTTACTACTGATTACAGAACCGGCTTTACTGACAAGAGGTGCATGACTACCGCATGTGATTTATCGTGCAGCCCTACCTTTTGCCTAATCACAATTGCGATTTAATTTTGATTAATCATGCAGCCCTAGTATTAATAACACCATAATCAGGCCTGCAGGGGAATAAGGCAAGTTTTTAATTGCTCTGAGCACCCATTCCTCCTTTTAAGGAATAGTTCACCCAAAAATTAAAATTTACTCAACTTTAGGCCATTCGAGATGCAGATGAGTTTGTTTCTTGTTCTGAACAGATTTGGAGAACTTAAACATTATATCATTAGCTCACCACTGGATCCTCTGCAGTGAATGGGTGAAAATGTGTCAGTGGGTTGTGATGTGAAAGGACAAAAGGGAGTGGGACTTTTTCCACTGGAGAAAGCGTTATTGTGAACTACAAACTTGTATTTTGACCAGAAGGTTACAGTGAAAATGACTTTATTGGTTTGTTTCTTTCAAACGAGCAGTTTTTCATTTTACAAGACATTAATCAATGGACTAGAATCATTACTTTTAGATTATTTTGATGTTTTTATCAGCTGTTTGAATGCTCATTCTGATGGCAACCATTCACCGCAGAGGATCAAATGGTGAGCAAATAAATCTGTTCTGATGAAGAAACACCCTCAGGTCATCCAAGATGTAGATGAGTTTGAGTAAATTTTCAGCAAATCCTCCATAAATCCAAACAATAAATAAAAACTACAAAAATATAAGTATTTTTTCACTGCATGGTACGGCTTGGTACGGTTCACTTTTGGGGGGTTTTCCACTGGGTACAGTACCTGGTACTTTTTTTAGTACCACCTCGGTTGAGTTTCCAAGTGAACCGTACCGTTACCAAAACGTGACATGTAAACTCTGCTGATCACGGATTGGCCGGAGAGAATCGTCACTACCTGCGTCACTGAACTTGTGACAAACACAACAGAACCACTAGATTTAAATCAGCACAGCCAGCGAAGGATCGAACGCAACGGTTTTGAACGAAATCAGTTGCAAATGTTGTACAAAATAAATATCACCACTACTCATCTTTGCACCAAAAAAAGCGCAACACTTTGTTTTTCAACCAAATTATATGTAATAGGGCTGCATGATTAATCAAATGCTATTGTCATGCGCATCTTGTCAGTAAACCCGGTTCTGTAATCAGTAGTAAATCTCCATCACCTGCTTTCAGATGGAGCAGCATTTACTACACAGAGCCGTAGTTCTCTGACAAACTACACAAAAAAAATTGCAGACAATATAATCGTATTATTATAAAATCTAATTATTATAATGACACCTGTTTGCGTAGCTTCTCAGTGAACTACGGCTGTGTAGTAAATGCTGCTCCATCTGAAAGCATGTGAAAATACCACATTTAATAACATATTTTTACTCCAAACTCACTTCGTAACGTCAGTCGAGTGTTTGAAATAAATCCTTCTGTGAGATGATGTGGCTTCTTACACAGAATAAGGCACGCAACATATTTCATAGTATTCTAAGCAGTGATAAAGGCTATGTCGATTAGCATTGCATTATAGATTTACTTTATATTAATGAGAATTATAATAAGATGAACTCAGATAAACCATATATTGTCGTAGTCGTGTGTTTATTAGTCACGCTGAATCAATGAAAGCAGTTCAATCTTCTGTTTATTCAGCTAGCACTGTAGGGATTGCCTGGGTTTCTTCTGCGGGGTGTATTTGGAGTTTCTCTGGCCTTCAGATAGAGATTTACTGCTGATCACAGAACCCTGCTTCACTGAAAGATACACATGACAATCACAGCTTCTGTCTAATCGCAATTTCGATTTCATTTCGATTTATCGTGCAGCCCTAATATGTAATATCTAATTATTACATTAATATTTTAACTTGCATATGAAAGATTTCCGTGACCTCTCGCGAGATTTTGGCAAAAAGTCTCACAATTTATTTCCAGATCGTGATGCATGATGGGATACACTAAGCCTAGAATAGCGCTCCGGAGCAGTATTGGAGATAGTGTAGGTTTAGTGTGCATTGAGGGCACTGCGCTTTAGCATTTTTAAGACCTGGGACAGTCTTGTGCACGCTCTCTCAAGTGGCCAAGAGCGCAGGTGTGGGTATTTGGACAGGGCAATAGTTAGATCACGTTTGCATTATTTGATGGAAATGCGTGTTGGCTGTAGAGAAGCCTGGTTTTCATGTGAAGTACTGGATGCTTTACTCACATGCTCTGGCTGTTCTCATCGTAAGCCAGAATCTGCGTCACCTCCCAGTTCCCTGATGTAAGGTGCCGCAGCTCGTTCTGATCCGCACGCGCCTGCAGAAACACAAACACGCTACAGATCACATACACAGACCCAGACGCCGCTCTGTGCTGCCATGTCTGTACCTGAGAGGTGAACATGGCCACGTGCTGGAAGTCTCCTCGTCCTCCCTGCTTCACTGGCACTGTCAAGAAGAAACGGTTGCCGTCTCGACAGAAGAACGGCTCCTGATTCTGCAGAAGCAGCCGAGGGACACCAGATTAAACTCAAGTGACAGAAGATCATGATGCAAACATCTAGTGGAGATTCACCTGTCTGGAGAGCCAAACTTCTGATGTTTCCTCATGCCTCTGTAAAGAAACAACACCATCATCATCACCACCACAATGACAGACACAAATTCATCTATAAAGCACATTATCATCATCTTCCTCATGAAGCGCACAGCTGTGTGTGTGAGTGAGTGAGTGAGTGAGTGTGTGTGTGTGTGTAAGTTGCGTGTGTGTGTGGGTGTATGCGTGTGTGTGTGTGTGTATGTGTGTGTGTGTTTACCTTGATGCAGGCTCCAGTGGTGGAGTCGCAGACAGTCAGAATAGAGACGTTCTGTGCTCGGTTTAACCATCGCACTGCTGTCTTGGTCTTACTGATCCACTTCACCATCACCACATAGTGCTCCCTACAGACACAGAGAGCGTCAGAGTATTGCCTGAGTCTCCAGCGCAGATCCGAACACACAAACTCCATACCTGAGCTTGAGCTCATCTGGTGGTGTGAGTTCAAGTGTGTGTGTCGGTCCGTACAGATTGACCACAAACAGTTTCACCATGGGATTGGGCTGCCCAGCCTGCAAACACAACACGCGTGAACATTTGCAGTTATAAAAACAACTACGGAAATAATTTAATGTTTGCACCAAGAACAGATGACAAAAAAATCTGACATTTCCTTCAACATACCACTGTCCGAAAATGTCTCTAAACAATTGACTCACATTTCAAAATGTCAGAATGTCACTCAATTAGGTAAAAAGAAATCAAAGTGAGTGTCTGTATCAAACCCATCATGCATGAGTCTCAGTGGACTCTCTGAGCGTCGCTGTGCTCCAGTCAATATCCTACATGGACACACCTGAACTAGTTAACTCTGGGTCATTCTACACCCTGCTTAATGGAATCCAAATGGAATTTTGTTTCACGTTTCAATGTTGCTCGTACCTGGGTTAACAGTTAATTGTGGTCTTCGTAAAATGATGTTTCACGCTGTACCTTCCTTCTTATTCGCAGTAACTGGACGAACGCAGCATTTGACTCTAGCTTCCCACATCTTCATATTATATATTGTACAATACTATAAAGTTTTTTCTGAGTGAATTTTTTGGACTATAAAGAGAAGAATTAAATGGTCTATTCACTTCAGTTCACATTTTTCCCCTCAAGCATTGAAACTCTTGTTTATGCCACACAATTTTTCCGTGACTGTCTAAAGCATGTGATTGGGTGTCTGTAGCACTGAGGCGTGACGTTATAACACTGAATTGTTTCACAATGTACATTTGGCACCAAAATACAGAGTTAACACTGCAAAAACTGCTCTGGGTGAAAAGCAGGCTTTAGTAAGGCAACCCAGAATTTCCCTCTTATTTCACCCTTTTAATACTTTATGCTCATTTTACATAAAATAATGCCATTTGTGTCTTTAATTGTCCCCCCTAACCACGTGATACACCATATGGACATAAGTATTGGGACGCGTGACCGTTAAACCAATAGGGACATTAATGACGTGACATTCTAAATACATTGACATTAATATGGAGTTTGTCTCCGTTAACAACTAACAACTTCCACTCTTCTGGGAAGACTTTCCAGAAGATTGTGAAGTGTTTCTGTGGGAACGTTTGCCCATTCATCCAGTAGAGCATTTGTGAGGTCAGGTACTGATGTTGGATGAGAAAGCCTGGCTCACAATCTTTGTTCCAGTTCAACTCAAAGGTGTTGGATGGGGTTGAGTTCAGAACTCAGTGTTCTTCCACAACAAACTCATCCAACCACATCTTTATGGAGCTTGCTTTGTGCACTGGGTCACAGTCATGCTGGAATAAAAAAGGCCCTTCCTCAAACTGTACCCACAAGGCTGGAAGCACAGCATTGTCCAAAATGTCTTGGTATGCTGAAGCATTCAGATTTGCCTTCACTGGGAGTAAGGAGCGGAGCCCAACCCTTGAGAAACAGCCCTGTACCATCATCCCTCCTCCAGCAAACGTAACAGTCAGCACAATGCAGTCAGGCAGGTATTGTTCTCCAAACCCAGACTCGCCCGTCAGACTGTGTGATTGGCCGCTGTGCAGAACAGGTTTCCACTGCTCCAGAGTCCAGTATCTGTGTGCTTTATTCACTCCATCCCACACTTGGCATTGCACTGGTGATGTGAGGCTTCATGCATCTGCTCAGCCATTGAAACCCATTCATGAAGCTCTGCTGCACAGTCTTTGTGTTGATATTAATGCCTGTGGTAGTTTGGATCTCTTCAGCTCTCGAATCAGCAGACCTCTGGCGACTTTTACGCACCATGAGCCTCAGCATTTGATGAGACGTTCTGTGAATTTACGTGGTTTCTGCAGTTCCTAAATACTTCCACTTTCCAATAATACCACTTATAGTTGAGCGTGGAATATCTGTCAGGGATAAAATGTAATGAACTGACACTGGAACTTGAATTCACTGAGCTCTTCAGAACAACCAATTTTTTCCACAAAGATTTGTAAATGCAGACTGCATGGCTAGTGCTAGACTTTAAACACCTGTGCCAAATGGATCTGATTGAAACTGCTGAGTTTGATAATTAGGAGGTGTGTCCCAACACTTTTGTCCATGTAGTGTACATCTGAGCAAGAGGATGTTACCTTCGGATACGGGTACTGTTTGCCTTTAGGGTATGTAGAGCCGGTGAAAGTGGGCAGCGCCATGTTTGGCACCAGACTGTCATTCAGGACCAGAAAGGCCAAGCGTTCGCCGTCAGGTGACCACCAGTGCGCCACATGCGTGTGAAGGACCTCCTCTGTGCATGCGTGTTGCCAACAAAACAAGAGTTACAAGACTTTTTATTTGTGTTGTATGAGATCTTAGAGTCAAACACAAACACCTGAGCTTCACCATACAGCCCTCTTCTTCATCTGGGGAAACTGAGAGCTAACTTACAATCAGCTTACACAAGAGAAAACTGGACAACACTTACTGTGTCTCACGAGAGGAAAGATGCATCATCATCATATATTTCTTAAATCTTCTCATAAACAGAGATATAACTGAGCCTCACCTTCATAGAGCCAATCAGCGATGCCATTATAGATGACGCCCTCTTTCCCCGATGAAGTCAATCGCAGCGAGTTAGTCCTGACGTCCGACTGATAGTAAATATTATTCTCAAATATGTACACCTACACACACACACACACACACACACACACACACACACACACAGGGGATATTTAAAATCAATCTTGATCATGCTCTTATTAAACCACAGTATAACTTTACAATTACAGAAAATTGCAGGAATTCCAACTTTAAATACTGCAACTACACTTAAACTTGGCTGTGTTTTATTCAGTGTTATTGCATGTGCTCTGACACGCTGCTTAGACACATGACTCGAGTTTGAATCCAGAGTGTGTCCTCAAGTCAAGTCAGATTAATTTCAAAGTCGAACTGTTATGTCTATAACGTATTAGTGCTTTATATAGAGCGGGTTTTAGGGCTTGCTGATATGACAACATATAAAGATGATCTGGATTTATTGTATTTATAGCATTGTCTAGCACATAAATGAGCACAGTAGTGACTCGGAAACACGTCTGTGCATTCAAAGCAATTAAGTTTCACAATCTGCTATAAACCTCCTTACCATCTCAAAACATGATCTGATCAAAACCGAACACAAACACAATGCGAATACGTAACTGTTAACACATTTAGTCTTCTAGACCGTCACTCTGGAATCAACAGCTCCACTATTTGAGGAGTGTCTGAAGGTAAAGAGTAAATGTGAATAACGAAAGAAGAGCTCACCAGCTGCTGGCCCTGAACACCCCACGCCGCGTGCTGCAGTTTAGAGTTCAAGACCTCCGGAGGATCCAGCTGCAGAACCTCCCTACACACACACACACACAGAGAGAGAGAGATACATACACACACACACACACACACATACACACACACACACACACACACACAGACACACACACACACACACACAGACACACACACACACACACACATACACACACACACACACACACACACAGAGAGAGACACACACACAGTTTTCAGACTGACATTATCAGCAGCTGGTGTGTTTCTGCTGCAGTAGGTGATTGCTGGCTGATGCTGCTCATCTACTGGTGTGTTTTATGGGTGAATGTGAGCTGAATGGATCTCAGCGCTCCTGTCAAACACTGATGATCAGAACAGCGTTCAACATCACGGCAGCACGTTCAAAATATTTCTAATTTCCACCACTCCTTCTCTCCTATCAGGACTTATTTACTTGCACACTGTAACGAAGTACTTTGCTTCACGATATTTGAACCCCTCAGCTCATTTCACATGGTTCTGCCTACAACACTTAAAGTAAAGTCCTGTTTAAAGACTGAATCCTATTCCCTGTATTCTCTGAATGTCTGTGAGATACAGTGAGATCAGTAAAAGCTCTTACTCCACCTGGTGTGAATGCTGTATATGATGTAGGACGCCGTGAACGAGTGCCGGTAAACCTGCGGTCAGAAAACAACCCATATTAAACACAACAATCTTGAAGAAATTTTAAATGACTTAAGTCAAGTCAAGTCAAGTCACCTTAATTACCTTTGATTCACAGTTAGTGAGAATAGAGAGAATATTAAGTGTAATCTGATCCTAAACTCAATAGTTAAGTCATATTAATAGAATGAGAGTTCTTATTGAACGCTTGCTTGAAATTATTTTAAATATACTGTATGTGAACAAACTAAATGTCTAATGCCTCTATTGCACTGAGCTCAATGATTCATTGTGATTTTCTTGTCTTTCAGGGACAAAAAAATTCTTTAAAGGTACTATATGTAAGAAGTTTTTAGGCTGCCTATAAAAGTACGCAAAGAATGCAGGTTAGTTCCCCTTCAAGGGAACTTCGAGCTGCGTCCCCCTCTAGGGGACATTTTGGGGAATGCTGCCAGCATGACCGGTGTCTGAAGCATGTGTAAAACAACGCCAATCCTATTGGTCCACGTGGCCCGTGACGTCATAAGCGGGTAACCAAAAGTATAAAAGGGCATCTGCTGAATACGTCATCAACTTTTGTTGTCTTCGGAGCTCTGTTTGTTCACATGTGTGAAACGAATCTTCCTGGTGAGTATGACATAATCGGTTTACCTAATGCCACGGATAATGCTTTTGCTACGGATAATGCTCGTGTTGCTATAACGATGAAGTGTGAGCACAGAGTCGTTTTTTAGCTCAGAGTGTGCGGGATTACAAGATCACGGGCGGAGTTCAGTTATTCAGTTCAGTTGTGCCTCTCTAATATGCATTTCACGAGTTCACACTTACATATAATAGGATTTAGCCAATAGTAAGCATATTTGGCGTGCTATCTTGAAGGAGGGCTCCGAGCTCGGAATATAGCCCAAACCCAGAGAACCCCCCCCCCCCCCCC